CCCTATTAAATTCTATAGTTATAAGGGATTATATATTATTATAAAGGCTTTAGGGCAGCTACTAAGTAATCTTATAGGTTAGGTTTTCCTAAAGCTATATATAGAATTACCTAAGGTTAGAGATTTATCTAGGTTAGAGTGTTCTTAGTATGCTATATCTCTAAGCCTTTTACTCTTATTAGGGTGTATATATTTCTTTACTATATAGTAGTAAAAAAAAAAACTTAATAAAAATAATAAAGATAGTAAGAGTAATAAAATAGTATAAATTAAGATAGTTATACTACTACTTAATATAGCCTTCCTAGTAGCTATTATAGTTCTAATAGGATAAAGCTAGGCTATAGTAGTATTATAAACTAATATAGTGTAAAAGTAAAGCGTAATAGTAAAGTAGTAAAGTATAATAAATAATAATAAGGAGCTAAATAAGTAATATAAGATAAGATAGGTAACAGATAGTAGGTATATTTATAGTTAATCCTTTTTCTATAAAGAGTTACCTACTAAAGGGATATATACCTAGGGTATACATAATATATTATATATATATTAGGTATCTAGTCCTTACTATCTATCTATCTCCTAACTACAGGCACTTACTACCTTATCCTATAATATAAACACTAGAGCTCTAAATATATTTTTTTTATAAGTATAACTATAAGACAGCTTAATATAAAGATCTAGATATAATAAGTATATAGTTTTACCTTATAGTAAATATAATTATAAAATATAGTATTATAAAGTCTAATATTTATAACTTTAATAAGACTAGCTTTATAATAGGCTAGATTATATTTAAAATAGTTATTATAAGCTCTAAAAGACGTTTAAATATAAAAATACTATAGCTTAGAAATTAAGAATAAGTTATAGTTTTTTAGGCTATTAGTTTGTCTAGTTATAGCGTCTTACTATATATTATTATTAAAAGTAAATATCTTTTTTTTACTTAGTATATAGAATCTAGTTTTCTACCTAACTAGGTTATTATAATATCTAAAAATAGATAAATAATAAATAAAAAAGGCCTAAATTAGCTTTAGTACTTTAATTAATATTTAAAGTTATATATAAAAAAGAAATATTACCTTCTTATTATTAATAAGTATAAAAGTTACTATTTTATAGACTTTAAGCTATATTATAAAGAAAATAATATTATTACTTTTTATATACTACTTTATTTATTTTATTTACTTTAGCCTTTAGATATTAGGTGTTTTAGGCCTTTAAAGCTAGCGTATAGTTAAGAAATTAAGAATAAAATAGAATAAGGTAATACTTATATTATAAAAGATAACTTCTTTTTAGTATTTTATAACGCCTTTAAGTAAGCTCTTATAAAAGTAAATATTTAAGGAGGCTTTAGAGGGGTAAGGCTTATCTCTTTAAGTCTAGAAAGTATACTATTAAAGCTAGATATTAAGTTATAGACCTTAATACCTCTAGAATCCCTTTTAATAACACTACTAGCTTAGACTTCTTAAACACTATATAACATAATAAAGATATCTTCTTAAGGAACTCTTATTAAGGATTACTTTATTAATTATCTAAATAGCTCCTTAATATATAGATTAATAGCTACTAAGTATATTCTTAAAAGAGCGTTAGGAATTATATATAAGAATACTTTATTAAAAGCTAAGGTTAAAACCCTTTATAAAGAGAATAACCTACTTAACTAATATAAAAAAGTATAAGAAACTTATCTAAAGTAAGGAGGGAGTCTAAGTGTAGCTAATATATAAGATATTTAGTTATAAAAAGAGGTAATAACCTAGATTAAGGAGGAAATATATTAAAGTAGTAGTTATAGATTAAGGATAGAAATAAGTAAACAGTAGTATAGTACCTATAGGAACGCTAGATATAATATATAAACGTACTAGTTTAATAAAGAAATATCTAAAGAATAGGATTCTAAGTAGTTTAAATTAATTTTATTATTTTATAGTTACTACTTAGTTATATTTATAAGGTAGCTGTAATTAAGTAGCGTGCTTACTTATTTAGCGCGCTTACTTATTATATACGTTATAGTATATAAATATTTATAACTACTAGCTACACTAAGAAGTAGTAGTAAATAAAATTACTATTAAATATAAGAAGTCTACTAAATTAATAGCTAATAGATTAATAAAGACGCTTAGTGCGCTATAATCTACTATATTTATAGCTAAATTAAATATAAGTAACTAATACGTACGCCTTAAAGTAAATTAATAGTAAGAATTAGCTAATAATAAAGTAAAGCTTTACTACTGAATAAAGAAAGAAAATATATAAGATATTAAAGGATAATTAATAAATAAATAAGATATATATAGATAATATTTAGTGTAGGCTTTATAGTAATTAATTATACTAATAGCGCTAAGGCGGTGTATTAAATATAGTAGAAGTATATATAAATTAGCTAGTAAATATATAGTTACCTTATAGTAAATTATTAGGGAATAAGTAGTAAATTAGCCCTACTGTTAGAGGTAACTTTACTAATAATATTACTAGGACTAGCTAGGGATTTCCTAACTAAGAAATAGGGGTTTTCCTCATTTCTATAGTAATTTACTATAGTTACAGAAGATATAACAGAATTAATTAAGTAACTATTATAATTACTACTATTTAATAGTTTCTTTACTATATAGTAGTAAAGTAAAAACTTAATAAAAAATAATTAAAATAGTAAGAATAATTAAATAGTATAGATTAAGATAGGCATACTACTACTTAATATAGCCTTCCTAGTAGCTATTATAGTTTTAATAAGATAAAGCTAGGCTATAGTAGTGTTATAAAGTAATATAGTATAAAAGTAAAGCGTAACAGTAGAGTAGTAAAGTAAGATAAATAATAATAAGGAGCTAAATAAATAATATAAGATAAGATAAGTAATAAATAGAAGGTGTATTTATAGTTAACCTTTCTTTTATAAAGGGTTACTTACTAAAGGGATATATACCTAAGGCATATATAACGTATTATATATATATTAGGTATTTAGTCCTTACTATTTATCTGTCTCCTAACTATAGGCACTTACTACCTTATCCTATAATAAAACTTAAGCTAATAAAAATATAAAAAGTAGTTAACTATATACTAAATATAAGTTAACTATTAACTTTAAAATAAGTATTTATATATAAGTTTAAAAATAAGAATCTTTAGTACTATAAGGTATATATATATATATATATAAGAAGATATATAAGAAGTAGCTTATCTAGCTAATTAAGTATATAAGATTATATAAGTTAAGATTATTTAGTATTACTATATATTTAGATTTATATATAAGCCTACTAGGTATAGCTATAGTAGCCTTACTTCCTACTATATATAGCTATATAGTTACTTACTAGTAAATCTATTAGAAGTAAGAATATCTCTAGTATTTCTATACTTCTTTATTTTATATTTCCTTTATTATAGAGGCTATATATATATAAGATATATATATTTATAGTCTACTAACTTAGTAGATTAGTATATATATTAATTACGTAAGCAGTATAATTATATAATTAACTAAAGATACTAGAAGATTTTAAGAGGAGTAAGATTAGCTTTACTACTTCTCTCTCTAACTATCTAGGTTATTACTTTAAGTTAGGGTTATCTAGTTAAGGTTATAATCTTACGCGTCTACTAAGTTAATTTATAAGTAGCTTACGTAAGTATAGAATATTCTAGTAAGCTAGATATGTCTATATAAGCGCGAGAATTCCTCCTGTTTCTAGGCTTCTATCTTTCTCTCTCTAAGCAAGCAACAGTTAGTAAAAAATTAATAAGCCTAACTACTATACTCTCTTTATATTAATATCCTTATATCTATTTATTATATCTACCCCTATTATTCTATATTCTTACTTCTATAGGATATATATTTATATAAGAGAAATACTCTCTTATATTCTCTTAAGCTATTATTCTCTATCTAAGAGACTGGCTTACCTGTTATAATAATAATATCGTACTAATTACTATAACTATAATAACTTCTTAGTAAGTAGTAAGCTTGTTCTTAGTTAATACATATAGATATTACGTTATAAGTAGCTTTATTAGTTTCTTTAAATATATCTTAAGGATTAATTAGTCTACTACTATAACCTTTAGGTTAATATACTCCTAGGGATTATAACACTTTACCTTTACTTAAATAGCGTTAAGCTATATAAACTTATTACTATATAATTATAAAATAGTTACCTTATTATTATTACTTTAATTAATTATTATAGTAGTATTTATTAATAAATAGGTATATTTATTATTATAAATATATTTATTAGACTATTAATTATTAAATTATAAGAATTATAATAGTTAATTTAATAATTCTATTATATATTATATAACTATAGTAAAATCCTATAGGAATAGGAAAAACCCCCTATTTCTTAGTTAGGAAATCCTAAGCTAATCCTAGTAATATTATTAGTAAAATCACTATCAAAGTAGGGCGATTTCACCGCCTATTCCCCAGCGATTCGCCATAGGGCAACCGTGCATTCGCCGGTGAATTCACGTGTAATTCCGCCACATTTAACAGTTAGATTACTAACTATAACAAGTCGCTCTAGGTAAGGTCGAAATTAATAAGTATAGCTAGCTGCCCTAGACCCCTATAAGCAGTCTAGTGCCGTTTGCCTAACACATATACCATAGGTGCGTATGTACAGGGTGACAGGGGTAAGTAAAATACCCCTAAAATGTTACCCCCTATAACCGACATCATGATAGAGGGGGAATATTCACCAAAAGTGAAGTTCTGCAGTAGGGGGGTGGACGTTAGTTACCTAACCGGGGTATTTAACTTCGGCCTAGTACTATTGTATAATGTATAATACAGTAGATGAAGCTTGGAGTGATGGTCACTCCGGTCCCGGCGAAATGACGCGAAGCTGCATGATGCATTGACATGAGGGCATCGCAAGAGTTTTCAAAGGTTCCAGGCCCTTGGCAGCCACACTCGCCTAGTCATCTTGAAAAAAGTCAAATGCCCTGTCCATCTGTTCCCCCAGAAACGATACATGGCTCGGTGCGGCCATCTGAAGGTGGTCCGCTCCAACCGACATGCACATGAGCTGCTCGCCCCCTACAAACTTATACCAGCCGTTGGATCCCAAATCCGCGCCCGTTTTGTGTGGCAAACTCCACATCACGGCACCAAGTTTGGGGTCCTCCATGAATCCCGGGTACGCCGTGGTGGCGATGTTACGCTCCTTCGCCAGTTGGTTGAAGCGCTCGCTGTGGGTGCAGCGGTCAATCATGCCTTTCTCCGCCCATATGAGCGCTGTACGCCGGGCCGGTGGCTCCTCTCCCTTCTCCAGCGGCGGAGGGTTGTAGACCGCAACCGATGCGAACAGCGCCTGGAGGTGCAGGCGGGTGTTGTCTGTGCCCCGCCAGACACCGCTGTCATCTTGTCCGGATACTGCATCAAACATTGCGAGGCCGATCTCATTGTCATTGTGCACGCTGGAGAGACGCGGGGCACACATGTCGATGAGAAGAAGGCCGCTGACGCTACGACCGGCACCGGATAGCTGGCGACAAACCTCGTACGCCATCATGGCGCCGCCGGAGAACCCCCCAATCCAGAAAGGTATGTTCGCTGGCTGCTTCTTGAGCAGTGCCTCGACGATGAGCTTTGCGGCGCCTGAGATGCCCACGTCCGGAGTCAGACGGGCTGGGCAGTGGAGATACGGCGAGTCGATTCCGTAGATTGCCACCTTGCTCTTGATCGCGGCGGGGAGATGGATGTAGGTGGCGATGGTGCCCGTGCCGTCTGCAATCATGTAAAAGGGCGGTGGCTGTTTCGGGTTGGGGCCTCTGGAGCGACCCGCCCCTTGTAATAGTGTAATTTTTACGTTGGGTGGCGGAGACGAGTCGTCGATCTCGGATGTTGGCCGGGCTCCTACCGGCTGTGGCCCGTTCTTAGGCGCCTCCGCAGCCGCCGCGTCAACAGACACGTCCGTTGAGCGTTCGGTTCTGATGAGCTCCGGCTCCTCGCGGAAGCTGAGCGACGTCTCGGGGCGGCTGTCCCAGCTGCTCTCCGAAGGGCTGTCCGAATCTGCGCTCGGGGTCAAGGATGGCGCAACGGCGAACTGGCGTCGCAGGTCGCCGATAACGACATTCTCGATCAGAAACGATGGCGCCAGCTCGAGGCCGGAGGTTTCGGAAACCTTGGAGGCGATCTCAATGGACATGATGGAGTCAATGCCAATGTCAGCTAGGACGGTGTCGTCAGTAAGCTCTGGCAGATCGACGCCCGTCTCTACAGCGATGGTCTGGACTATGATGTCGAACACCCCGTGACGGGAGTCTGGCGTCCCGGTGGGCTGCTTCCTCTCTTCCGGCTCAATTTCCACGTTCGCAGCTGGCGCCGCCTCTTTCTCCGCGACCATTTGTGGACTCGTTTTGGGTGCGCTCTGAGTGACAGGCCCAGGGGTTCTTGGAGTGCCGCCGAGCGCTTTTCTCAGCGTCGCATTGCTGATGATGTGGAAGTTGAGCCCCGAGCACTGTGCGATCAGCTTATTGTTGTCGAACACGAACACATCGCAGATCTTGTTCTCGACATCCTTTTCCAGCACACGCACGTATGTCAGGTAGACCTTTCCGGCCTCAAAAGGGACCGTCTGCTCGAAGCTGTCGAAGCCGCTGTTGATGAAGCACGACTCGGCGGCCGTCTTCAAATTCAGCGGGTTCGCATTGACGGCGAAGCCAGCCAGGTGGGTGACGCTCTCGCCCCAGTACGGCGACGCCACGAAGCGGGTGCCGACAGGATGGTCTTTGAGCACAATCTCCGCTGCGGCCTCGGAGAAATCGCTGGAGATGAAGGCTTCCTTGATAGACTTGAAGCCGGAATCATACTGGACGGTGGGCGCGAAGAGGGCATAGAATATGTCTGGTTGGAACCTGTGGCCCCGTCCTTCTGTGGCAGACCGGATGATTTCATCCATCCGGGCCTTGACGAAATACGAGGTCCGGTCCCAGCTAGCCTGCAGGCCCTCGACATCAGGGCGGATGGTCAGCGAGCAGCTTCCAAGCTCGTAGGTGGGACCCTTGGATGCCGACGTTGCCTTCCACGAGACCTGTATGTCGTTACTAGCCTCCTTCAAGGTCGCGGTAGTGACCAATTCGCCGTCGCTACCAACAAGGCTCTTTGTCAAGGGACGCTTTAGACTAGGGCTACGTAGCGAGAGCTTGGTGACGCTGGCGTCCGTCTTTTTGCCGTTAGCATCGAGTGCGTAAGCAGCTGCTGCAAAAGCGGCCTCGCAAAACGCACTTCCGGGCAGAATCGGCAAGTCCTGCATCCGATGACCGTCGATCACAGCGCTCAGGCCCGGCTCCGCGAGGGCGGCGCGCAGAGTCACCGATGTCCTCCCAGTAGACGACGACTCGCTGACGACGTACTGCGCCAAGGTCGAGATCATCTGCTGGCGGGCAGCCGTACGATCCTGCGTGGAGAGCGCCTCCTGACTGCCGCCCGTGGCCTCGGAGAATGTGATCCAGTAGTCCTTCATGTCCCATGCATACGACGGCAGTGTCAGCATCTCTAGGTGTCTCTCGTACAGCTGGTGGAAGGCGCGCCAGTCGATAGGAATGCCCAGCAAGTAGGCTGCCGCCATACATTTGGAGACCGATGCCCAGGCGGTCGAACTGTTGGGGCCCTCCAGTGTTGACATGACCCTTTGCGTTGCAGGGGAGAGTGTGGTCTTGATGAAGGATGTGCAGACTCTGCTCGGCCCGAGCTCGATCCAGACGGGGTCGGTGAGCTTTCCCCGTGACCGCGCTCAGAGCTTGTACAAAGTTGACGGGCTGACGGGTCTGTTGAGCCAGATACTGCCCGTCAAACGTGCCTTGGGAGTCGACAATGGATCCAAGCAGCGTGGATGCCACAGGAATCCTGGGTGCCAGAAACGTGACACCCGCGGCGATGGTTTTGTAGTCGGACAGTATGAGGTCGACCTGAAAGGAGTGGAAGCCGTAAGGCACTGCGAGAGCCTTCGAGCGAGCCGCCAAATCTTGCTGCATATTGCCAATCTCATCAGCGCTGCCGCTGATGACCGTCCCAGTCGTGCTGTTGATACAGGAGATGCTGCAGGTTGCGTACTGTGGATGAGAGTCAAGGAAGGCTTGAACATGCGCAGCAGACATGCTTACGGACAGCATGGCAAAAGTGTCGGCCTCGCATCGGTCGAGCAGAAGCCCAGCTCGCCGACCAACCAGGTAGATGGCGTCCGCAAGAGAGAGGACACCTGCCGCATACAGAGCGGCGTACTCGCCAAGGGAATGACCCATCACCATTTCTGGGTGCACACCGACCGACTCCCAGTAAGCAGCAAGGCCGACTTCAAGAGCCAACACGGCTAGCTGGGTCTGGGTCGTGGTCATGGACGCCATGTCAGCCTCGGCATTGGCGATGAGATTGACGAACTGCGGGAAGCCGTGTTGTTCCCCAATCCGCGCGCAGAGATCGACAGCCTCTCGGAACGAAGCACTCGTCCTGTACAGCTCGCAACCCATGCCTGCATAGTGGGAGCCTTGTCCGGTGAAGACAAAGACAACGGGCGGGACGTGTGAGGAGGGTGACGTCCATGAGGAGGAATCTTGGTCGGCAATATCGTTCTCGAGTTTGGCAACGAGCGTACTGGTGCTCGTAGCCGTACACGCGAAGCGGATGGGGTGGTGCATCCTCCTGGCGGTGGTGGTGTACGCCACATCCTCGATCTTGGTGTCCGGGTTGGCGCGCAACCACGTGAGCAGTTGGCGCCTGTTCTCCAGGTGCGCCGCTGGTGTTCGGGCAGAAAGGACCACGACATGGCTGGATCGTGGATCCGCGGCGGCTTCTGCCTTGACTGCTGCTACATGGCCCCGGCCCATGTACTCCTCGAGCAGCATGCAGGCGTTGCCTCCAGCGGCATCGAAGTTGTTCAATAGAATACGTCTTGGCGTGTTGCCCACGCGTTTGAACTCCTTGGGCTGCGAGAGAATCTCGACGTTCAAGTTTTCGAGTGGAGGGAACTTGGGGTTCAGCGCGTGCGGCATGCCCGCTTGGGGGGGGATGGTATTCGTCTCGAACATCTTGATGCATTTCATCAACGAGGCCATGCCAGCAGCACCCTCCCCGTGACCAAAGTTGGCCTTGACCCCGCCCACGGGCACCGGCCCGTCGGCTCGCGATTTGTGCTTCAAGAGGTTGCCAACGGCGCCGATCTCGGCCGGGTCGCCGACCTGGGTGCCTGTCCCGTGCATCTCGACGTACGAGATGTCATCAGCTGACACGTGTGCATTGCGCAGGACTTTGCGGAACAGACGTTCCTGGGCACCTGCGTCCGAGGTGGTGATGGACGGCGAGTTGCCGGAATGATTGCGCCCAGATGCCGCGATCACGGCGAGGATCTTGTCATTGTCGGCCTCGGCGTCCTCCAGGCGCTTCAGCACCACAGATCCGACAAAGTCGCCGCGGCAGTACCCGTCGGCGTCATCGCGGAACGTCTTGCAGTTGCCCGTGTCCGATAGCACGCCGGACTTACTGAGGCTCGCAAACGAATGCGGGTAGTTGAGGATGTTGCCGGCGCCTGCGACCGCCATGTCAATGTCTCCGGTCTGGAGACTCATGCAGGCGAGGTGGACGCACGAGGTCGTCGAGGCGCAGGCCGAGTCGAGGGCGTACGTCGGGCCCTCCCAGTTGAACTGCCAAGCGACTCGGCCTGGGCCGAACGCTCGTTGTACACCGGGCAGCGTGTAGGGGTCACATCCGAGAGTCGGGTGGGATTGGTCGTGCCAATCGTCGGTGACCTGGCCGTAGAACGTGGCGATACGGTTTGGGTCTGTCGACTTGGTTTTGCCATCTGAATAGCCGGCCATTTCGAGCGCCTCATAGGTGCTCATCAAGAAGTGCCGGTGGCACGGGTCCATGAGCATGGCTTCCCGCGGAGATATGTGGAAAAAGCGAGAGTCAAAGTGCCCCGGCTTGTCCATGAAGCAGCCGTATCTGGTGGTCGTTGTGCACTTCTTCTCCCCACGACCGTGCTCTGCGCTGTAAAACTCGTCGATGTCAAATCGGTCTTTAGGCACTTCAGTGCAGGTATCTGTCTTGCTCATGATTATGTCCCAGAACTCGTTGATATTGCCACACATCGGACCGCGCCCCGACACGCCCACGACGGCGATACGGCCAACAGGAGAGGCGGGTTGTCGTGTATCCTCGACCTGGAGCAAGGTCCTCTCGCCCTCCAGCGTTATCACTTTCCCGGCCTTCTCCAGAGTACCAAGTAAATATGAGGTATGACTGGTGGTCCCCATCTCAATGACTCTGACGGTCTCAGCAGCGCCGAGTGCAGCTGTCATCTTACCAATAGCTTTGGTGATATCAAGACCACGGGACAAAACTTGTGCACAGATGGCCCTAAGCATGTCGCCCCAAGTCGTATACGTGGCATCAGGTTCATCCATGCCCCACAGGTTGGAACCTGTGGCATAGATGGCCCTGGTGAGGAGTGATTTGTTGTCACCGACGATGAAGTCGATGTCTGCTTCGGTAAGTTCGATTGTATGTTGGAGGGCATGAATTTTGAGAGGATTCTTGGCAACGCGCTTCATTGCCGGACACTCATGTATGAACCGCTCCAGAACCGAGGGTGGCCCGATGATGGTGCTCCAGCCAGCACCCGTGACGCCGGGCTTTGCCCTCTTCAAGGGCGGGATGCCGACACTCTGCTGAAACTCCTCCAGTGACTTGCTGAGGTCTTCCAAGGCAACGCCGACGACAGCCCAGCCCCAGACGCCACGTCGGTCTTCCACCGACCTGGACTTGATGGATGTGAATTTGCACAACCGCACCAAGAGCCGGGCTATCTCGAGAAGCGCGGCGCGGAGGGTGTCGAAGTCTTCCGACACGGCCCACGCCGACATGCTGATCAAGCCGCCCGAGATGCCGAGCCATTCCGTGTTTCCATTGTTGGAGAGGATGCTAGCGTCTCTTCTCGCCCATAACAAGAGATTACTGGCCCTGACCGTGTGAAGAAGCAGGCAATGCGCCATGCCCAGCTCGTCTGTCGTGTTCCGATACCGTTCACCGAGCTCGTGTAAGCTGGAGAAAGTACCCAGGCTATCCTGCAAAAAAGGATCGATCACTATCGCCCTCGTCTCTTCGTTCACCGTCCTAGTCAAACCGCCCAGGAACTCCTGAAGCCATGGCATGGAGCCAGCCAATTTATATACCTGGTCGAGCCCGTCGTTCCATGAGTCTGTCTGGTCCCCGAAGAGAAGGACCGATTTCGTTTGTTGCGCTGCTTTAGACATCTTTGCTGGAGATGTTCGCATACACGATAGAGAAAATTAATGAGAAGGCAAACGCTAGTCTTTGAGTTCGATATGTCCGGTCTATGCGCGAAAAGGAGGATGTAGTTCCAAATTTCCTTCAACTGAGTGTTCTTAACATCCAGGGCATCCTATCTTAATAGCACCAACTCTCCAAACTGAGCGAGTCCATAGCGAACCGCAAGATACCTCTTCTCTTGGAAACAGCCGATAGGACTAACGCTCCCCAAACGGCCATATCACGACACTTGACCACTTCATCCGTCAGGCACCGCTTCCACATGCCGTGCTGACAGTAACAATGGTCACGCCAAGATGCGGCCCACTGCGTAAGGTATGCCGGCATCATCGATCCGTCGTTGGATGCGCAGGGATATGATTATTAGGCGAGGTTTCGAAGTTACTGCAGAAGCAAAACGACATTCTAGCAGCAGTAAGCTTACTCCGCCGTTTCTCTTTCTATCTAGCCATAGGTGACATATGCAGTAAGCTTACATGACTCGGGGCTTACCGTCGGGTCACATAATCTTTCCGTCCTCGCGGTTCGATGATCGCTACAAGAGAGTTCGCCCCAGGGGGTGGTCTTGTAAACAGTCACATTAGTCTTCCACTAAGTTACCTGCCTCACGTATTATATTGCACATCAAGTTCTAGTTGTTACTCACGTTAATCGCCTGCGCAGCTAAGGCTAGAATATTCCTAAAGCCCATTCGTTATCAATAACATACTACAATGGAAGTCCCTGAGTCTTGCACAGTCCTGGTCGCCGGGGGTGGACCGGGAGGATCGTATGCAGCCGCAGCTCTGGCAAGGGACGGTATTAACGTCGTCCTTCTCGAGGCAGATAGGCATCCCCGGTATGCATATGGCCTCTCACTGGGCTCAACATCCACATGATGTGCACATAGGCTGATATACAGCCACAGTTATCACATCGGCGAAAGCATGCTCCCGTCCATCAGACCGTTGCTGCGCTTCATTGATCTGGAGGACAAATTCGACCAACATGGATTTCAGAAGAAGGTAAGCATGCTGGGCAATATGGGTGCGAAAGCCTCCGAGTACGAAAATCCTGATCATCTCTGTAGCTCGGAGCCGCTTTCAAGCTCACCGCCAAACGTGAAGGATGTAAGTTACGAGGAAAACCACCCAATGGAGTCAGCAACTGTACATATATACATATTCATCTTGGAACAGATACCGATTTCGTCTCTGTGCACGGCCCGAAAGGGTATTCGTGGAATGTAATTCGAGCTGAAGCGGACGAACTCATGTTCAAGCACGCAGCCGAGAGTGGCGCCAAGACATTCAACGGCATCAAGGTCAACTCGCTGGCTTTCGAGGTCTTTGAGGGCGACTTCCCTGAAGGTCAAAAGGTAGCCAATCCCGGTCGTCCAGTTTCTGCCCAGTGGTCTGCCAAAGATGGCACCTCTGGGACGATCAAGTTCGATTATCTAGTGGACGCTACGGGCCGGGCCGGTATCACCTCCACCAAGTACCTCAAGAACCGCAGATTCAACGCTGGGTTGAAGAACCTTGCTATCTGGGGCTACTACAAGGGCTGGAAACGCTGGTCCGAGGGAACTCTGAGAGAAAACCAGCCTTACTTTGAGGGAATGAAAGGTGAGTCTGTTTGCCGTTGGGAATGTTTCCAGATGCCGCAACGGGTCTGGCTGACGTCGTACAGACGGCTCGGGCTGGGTTTGGACGATTCCTCTTCATAACGAAACAGTTTCTGTGGGTGCTGTCTTGCGAAAGGATCTGTTCGAGGACAGGAAGAGGAGCCTTGGCGAGGGCGCTACCAACGCGAAGATCATGGATGAGTGCATCAAGCTCTGCCCCACGATCCAGTCGCTCCTTGAACCTGCCGAGCTCGTAAGCGATATCAAGCAAGCTACCGACTACTCATACTCGGCTACTGCGTATGCCGGTCCGCACTTCCGCATCGTCGGCGACGCCGGATGCTTCATTGATCCGTTCTTCTCGTCCGGCGCTCATCTGGCGCTGACTGGCGGGCTTGCGGCCGCCGTGTCCATCAAGGCATCCATCAACGGCGACTGCACCGAGTACCAAGCCTCCAAGTTTCACGCCAAGAAGGTAGATGAGGGCTACAACCTATTTTTGCTGGTGGTGCTGGCTGCCCTCAAGCAGATCCGGATGCAAGAGAACCCTGTTCTCAGTGATATTGACGAAGACGGCTTCGACCAGGCCTTCAACTTCCTCAAGCCAGGTGCGCATCTCGGGCGGTCATTTTTAGTACATGGCTAACAGCACACAATAGTCATCCAGGGTTCTGGCTCCTCCGCCATCACCAAGCGCTTTTCACGCGATGAGATATCCCAGACCATCGACTTTGCTGTCCAAGCGCTTAACTCATTTCCCACTACGGACGACCACGATGCTGACCAGTCAGGCGCCAACGGGAAGCTCCAGCCGGAAATGACAATGCCTGACGAGGGCGTCTTGACCGGGTTCAAGATTCTTGAGCAGGCGGCGCCCAGCGCCGACATGACCAAGTTTGGGCACACGTCCATTGACGGCCTCGTGCCTCGCATCGAGCGCGGTAATTTGGGCCTCATCCGGGGTTGAGTCACGGATACTGTGAACAACTGCAGGGTCACTGATGTGATGGTATACAAAGTTCGGGGAGCCGTAATAGAGAATGGTGATCTCTTTCATGAAACCGTTCTTTTTTGAACCATCTTGTCCTGTGCGAGGAGAGTCAAGTTGTTGAGTGAGCGAACAGCGAATCAAAGATAGCTAGAGAAACCACCAATTGGAACGCCATTGTTCCTATCCTAGCAAACAAACACGCCGTTGGCGATCGACAGGAAGGATGCCTTGACGGGATCGGCCCGTCTGCAGTCAGCTTACGGATACCTACTGCATATGTGCTGGCCAGGATTTCCAAGGGTCATCACTCTAATTGTGAGGCTAGCGGCCAGCTGCCTTGCCTATTCTCGTTAGCACGAAACCTGCCGGAATTTCGATCCGGTGAATACATATCAGGGATATTCGTAGTGGTTCAACGCAGGGTTACCTGCTCCATCGTATGATTTGTATCAAAAAGGTGCAGCCCCCCCTGCATCTGCATATGGCACTGCGGCAACGCAGGCCGCGTCTGATTACCTTGTACCCGTTACCTGCCTAAGCTCGCCAAGATCTTGTCTCTTGTTACTTGTATACCCGGACTACATAGGCTCGTAATCAAGTCGCGTAGACCCTTCCAGTTGCTTGAATCCTTGCCTTGCCAAGCTGCAGTATTTATAATCTAGTTCCAGCTAAGCCCCGCTCACACCGAGTCTTGAAGCACCATGATCTCCTGTTCAAGAGCAAGTTGCCGTGCTCCCCCAGACGCTGGACAGAAGTTTGAAGGTTGAGGATAAGAGATGGCGACAGCGCAAGAACCACAAAGCCACGAACCGAATTTGCCCAAATATGACGCCCTTGAAATGGAGAAGCAGCAGCAGCAACATGACGTACCTACTCCTCCAGACGATGGCGTCCGGATCGCGGATGAGCTGGATCCCAACGTTGTAGACTGGGACGGGCCTGACGACCCAGCCAATCCTCTGAACTGGTCATTCTTAACATACATCGCATCCTGAATCACCCTACTGACATCTTCCCCTTCAGGTCGCCGTTGAAGAAATGGGCGAACATCGTCGTCCTTGCCATAATCACGTTCAACGTTCCGCTGGCTTCCACCATGTTTGCGCCCGGCGTGCCACAACTCCTCGAGGACTTCGACACACGTAACGAGTCTCTGGCAACTTTTGTGGTGTCAGTGTACATCCTCGGCTTGGCTTTGTACGTTTAATTCCCCACCAGGATGCACCATTAATTTCTGACTGGTAATCCTTACCCTGCAGCGGTCCACTTGCTTTGGCACCGATGAGCGAGCTTTACGGAAGAGCAATGATATACCACGTTGGAAACGTTCTCTTCATCATATTCACGGCCGGTTGTGCTCTGTCAACTAGCATGGGCATGCTCATTGCCTTTCGTTTCCTATCGGGATTAGTAGGCGCTGGTCCGATCACGATTGGCGCCGGCACCATTGCCGATCTCATGACGGTACGACAGCGGGGAATGGCCATGTCCGTTTGGAGCCTGGGGCCACTTCTAGGCCCTTCAATCGGTCCAATTGCCGGGGGATTTCTTGCTCAGGCTGAGGGTTGGCGCTGGATATTCTGGGTTCTCACGGCCACTGCCGGCGTGATCACGATCATGGGCTTCGTCGTACTTCGTGAAACCAACGCGCCTGTGCTGTTGAAGAGAAAGACTCAACGCCTCCAAAAGCAGACTGGCAACATGCAACTTCGGTCCAAGCTTGGTTCAAACCTCAATCCCAGAGAGCTGTTCCTCCGCTCGATCCTGCGTCCTTCCAAGTTCTTGGTCTTCTCCCCGGTCTGCCTCCTACTCAGCATATACGGGGCCTTCATCTACGCCATGATCTACTTCATGTTTAGCACCTTCAGTTTCGTCTTCCAGGAAACATATGGCTTCGGCCAAAGCACTGTAGGTTTGGTATACATTGCGCTCGGCATCGGCATGATGATTGGCCTCGCGATCCAGCAGGCGACGGGAAACAGGATAATGTCAAAACTGGCCAACAGACACCATAGCGGCAAGCCGAAGCCCGAATACCGACTACCCATCATGATTCTGGGTGGCCTCTTCATTCCCTCTGGACTCTTCATATACGGATGGACAGCACAGGCGCATATCCAGTGGGCAGTGCCCCTGCTGGGGACGCTCGTTGTTGGCACGGGCGTAAGCATCATCAACATTAGCGTCAACCTGTACCTTGTGGATGCCTATACCGTCTACGCAGCTTCAGCTCTTGCAGCGTCGACCATTCTGCGATCTATTTTCGGTGCCACATTTCCGTTGTTCGCGCTACAGCTTTTCGACAGCCTTGGTCTCGGCTGGGGAAACAGTCTGCTCGGCTTTGTTGCGGTATGCATGTGGCCTATTCCGGCACTCTTCATCAGGTATGGTGAGTATCTTCGAACAGCTCCGAAATTTCAGATCAAGCTGTGATTTAGAGATACAATAAGCGGAATTCCGGGGCCAGACCTAATATCAAGGCCTGAGAGCCCGCCTATGTGGTCAAGGTGATGGTGATGTGGATTTCGACATACATGTCATCACGCAGAGAAATTCATCATCATGTATTACACGGTACTGGCCATGTACAGTCGCTTTATAGCTATGGATGTACTCGAATTCTGTTTGTAAAAAGTGGTCCAGACCAGGGAATATTCTATGTGCCTGCCTATTTATCAGTTTGTACATGTAGGTAACATAGGCATAGGCCATAGATGATATAACGCCAAATGGCATGAGTAAACCCCCTTGCAACGATGTTATGGAGTAGATTGGTGCTATTTGTCAAGCCGATCGTCACTCTTGACGGTGTAGCATGTGGGTTCTATAACCCGTAAGTCATGTTTTCTGATCGAGGCCAAGAAATCTATATTTGTGTGCCGATCCAAGATACTTCTGGATCCCTCTCGACCCGGTGAAGCTTCACGTAAAGCGGTTTCTTAAGGCCAACAATGTATGTTTTCTGGTTCATCCAATCCATACTCTCATCGCACACCTCTACGTCATACGTCCAGAAAAACTTCGCTGCCAGAAGCCTTGCTTCATGGTAGGCAAGGCTAGGCCAACACGTTAGCACAGGTGCTCACTGATAGCGGGGGAGCTACGTGAGGCCTTACTTTTTACCAATGCAGTCACGCGGACCAGCAGAAAAGGCCTGGACCGCCTCCAAACGGTCGTTGGCGAGTTCCGCAGGGGGTGACGAAGCCCATCGCTCGGGAATAAACTCGTTGGGCCGAGCAAAATGCATCCGAGAATGATACGCGGCGGACTGCGCATAGTAAACTACAACCTGTTGGCACGTCAGTCAACAAATTCAAGCGCCAGTTTCGGAACAGACCTACGTCCGGGGGGAGGTGGTGGCCGTCAAGACTGGCTCCCTGTGGCCCGGTGCGGCGAGGAAGACCACCGGGCACGGGGGGGTAGCAGCGCAGGCCTTCTTCGATGCAGCATTGGAGATACTCCAGGTGTGGCAGGTTTAGCGTGGTCATCTCCTCTGTCGAGCTGAACTTGCCGCGAAGCTCATCTGTGAGCTTCTTGAGCTTGTCCGGGTTTTGGGCCAGGAGAAACGTCAGCGCTGTCATCAACGACGAAGTTGTCTCCGTCGCAGCCGTGAGAATGAGGAACCCGTTTTGGCGCATCTCGCCAAAAGTCATACCCTCTCCCTTCTCCTGCGCCTGTAAGACAAGAGTCCACATGTCCGGGTGATCTGTAATCTTCTTCTCCAGCCGCGAGGTAACATGGTCATCGCAGAACTTAGTGTGTTCCATTCGCTTCTTGACCATAGACCTTGGGATCAACATGACAAATACTTTGTCCATCCAAGGGAAAGATCGAATAGCCCTTCGCCAGGCGCTGAACTTGACCACCCCCGAGATGTTGGCCAGGAAAGGGTGATACTCCATCCGCTCCAGATGGTCGAGACCTTCGCCAAAGACGAGGTCGGCGGCAAAGTCGAAGGTCGCGAAGTTGAAGAACATGTGGATATCCACCTTGCCTTTGGATTCACAACATTCACCCGACTTCTGCACAAAGAGATCAGTGTACTTCTTCAGAAGAGGCTCCTGCTCGCGAATGGCCCGGTCGCTGAAGGCTGGCGAGAAGACCTTGCGCATGCGACGGTGGGACTCGTCGTCGGCCGTCATGAGGCCCTCGGTGCCGTCTCCACGCTGGTTCTTCATGTAATAGGCCTTGAAATCCTTGGGTATCTGGCGGGCGGCATTACGGTGTCCGTAGATGTCTGTTGCGGCGGCTGGATTGATAGTGCTCACTTCGCCTGGCGCAATACGCACATACTGACCGTATTTCGAGTGCAACTTGGCATAGGTGGCAACCTCGTCGCCCTTAATGCGCTGGATGGTGATGGGAATCTGCGAGGCAGCGTAGTACCAAGGGCCAGGAAACTTGGAAAGTGGGTGGAAGTAAACACGGTATATGACCGTAAGGAGAACGAAACTAAACGTCTTTCCACCAAAGGCATTAGCTGATGACTCTGGGAGAAAGATGCAAACTATCGCTTACCACAAAGAAGGCGACAGGCGACAAGAAGGAAATTGAGGCCGTCATATTGCGAACTCTTCCTTTCAGTATCAAGTGTGTATTGGTGACACAGGCTCAGGCTGGACAGTTCTCTGGGAAAATTAAACCTGACAATTACGTTACTGCCACCAGATGCAATTGAGTCTTCGAAGCTTTACATAGCCAGCGTGTACGGTAAACTCGGAAAAGGGTCTAATAGCAGATTGTCAGCCCCTGGCATAGCCACCCGAACCTTGTGTGTTCATTACACCGTTATACTGCCATGTGTTTCAATATTCACCGAATTGCCACTTCACTTTCCTTCAAGAAACGACCCCGCAACCGCATCATTTCGGGGTGTAATGCATATGCAGTCAGCTTACAGCAGTGCTTTGATACCCCTTGCGATGCTGACGATGCTCGTAGCCCGTGCATAATCGTCTAAAGCCCCGACATCTGGACGCTGAGGCCTTTCGAGATAAGGTAGTTACACCGAGAGATGTAACTCATCGAATATTATCAAATAATCTAGGTAAGCTTACCTTTATTCCATGCCCGGTTAACATGCGCATTCGGGCACTCCTGTGTCCATGACGTCTCGCAAGCGCAAGAGGCATCCTTTACACAAAAGAACTTTCACATACGGGGACCACTAGGGTTCAATCCCACACTGTTCTACATGCGTGTGGCCTGTTTGGGAAAGTAATCTCTTCCCTTTTGGGGACACATCCTGCGGGCCTTACAATTTAGTTTCTCTGGGCGTGGAGCTTTCTTGTTTGAGCGCTGTTGTATGCCGCGAAACTGCAGAGATAGGTTGATGAACAGAACGAATATGTGTATTAAAGGCCTTTGTGATGTGTACAGGACGTAAATGTCGCTGTGGTTTAGTTTAATGTCATTATATTCCTCAATAACCTGTCACTTACGGTCACGAACACCAAGCCGTTCATCTTCACTTCTCCTGTATCTTACAGTTTCGCTGAGATGCCTTCCGTTGTTCAGAGTGAGCCACGGGCTCCGATAGCCGTTGTAGGCTTGTCATGCCGCTTTCCTGGCGATGCCACGGACCCTTCGAAGTTCTGGGATATGCTCAAAAATGGACGAGATGGCTACACACCCCAGACGAACAGATACAACGAAGATGCCTTCCACCACCCAGGGGGCAACAATAAGCGGCAGAATGTTCTACCCGTCAAAGGCGGCTACATGCTCAAGCAGGACCCGTACGTTTGGGATGCTGCTTTCTTCAACATCACAGCCGCCGAGGCCATCGCTTTTGACCCCAAGCAACGCATTGCAATGGAGGTCACGTACGAGGCACTCGAGAATGCTGGTATGTCTTTGCAAAAGGTGGCTGGCACGCAGACCGCCTGCTACATGGGCACTTCGATGAGTGATTACCGAGACTCGATCGTCCGAGATTTTGGAAACTACCCCAAATACCACCTGCTCGGTACCAGTGATGAGATGATTTCGAACCGTATCTCACATTTCCTCGACATCCACGGCCCTAGTGCCACGATCGAGACGGCCTGCTCATCCAGCCATGTGGCTACCCATCTTGCCTGCCAAAGTTTGCAGTCCGGCGAGTCGGAGATGGCCATAGCTGGTGGGGTGGGCATGACTCTGGTCCCCGAAAGCACGATGCAGCTCAATAACCTGGGCTTCCTTAGTCCTCTGGGCCAGTCACGAGCCTTTGACTCCAAGGCAGGCGGTTATGCCCGTGGCGAAGGCTGCGGCGTCATTGTCATGAAGCGATTAGACAAAGCCATTGCGGACGGCGACACGATCCGCGCCATCATCCGCGGCTCCGGCGTCAACCAAGATGGTTGGACTCAGGGTGTCACGATGCCTTCAGGGGAAGCCCAGGCCGCCCTCATCAAGTATGTCTACGAGTCCAACAAGCTCAGCTATGGTGATACCCAGTATGTAGAGGCCCACGGTCCGGGCACACAGGCTGGTGACCCCACCGAGACTGGGGCCATCTACCGCACCATCGGACTGGAGGGGCTCAAGACCAATCCGTCACGCAAGAAGTTGTGGGTAGGAAGCGTGAAGCCAAACATTGGCCATCTTGAGTCGGCCGCTGGTGTTGCCGGTCTTATAAAAGGCATTCTTGCCATGGAACATGGCTTCATCCCCCCAAACATCCACTTCGACGAACCGAACCCGGCTATCAAGCTCGACGAATGGGGACTGGCCGTGCCCACCAAACTCACTCCCTGGCCTGCCTGCCTAACACGGCGCATGTCCTGCAGTTCCTTCGGCATGGGTGGCACGAACGCCCACATCGTCCTTGAACATCCTAACAAGCAGCTCGGTAATGGCTACGCCCTCAATGGCGTCACATCTCCCAAGCATGCCACGAGGCTCTTTACCTTCAGCAGGCACGACCAAGCCGGCTTCAAACGCATTAGGAGCGCTTTAGTCGAGCACTTGGATCGCCTCGGTCCTGCTGCCTCGACACCAGAATATTTGGCCGATCTGTCACATACACTAGCCGTTGCACGCTCTGGTCTGTCGTGGAAAGCCTCGTGTTTTGCTGACAGCGCGGCAGAGCTCAAGAGACAGTTGAGCACAAGGTTAGGAGACAACGCCACTCGCGTGCCCGGCAGCCGGGAACCACGCATCGGCTTTGTCTTCACGGGCCAGGGCGCCCAGTGGGCCCGTATGGGTGTCGAGCTCATGGAGCGCGAGGTCTTTGCAGACTCGGTGGCCCGGTCCGCCAAGCTGCTGCGCGACTTCGGTGCCGAGTGGGATCCGCTAACGGAACTGTCAAAAGTCAAGAAGGCATCTCGCATCGGCCTCCCTGAGATCAGCCAGCCAATTTGCTCTGTACTGCAAATTGCTCTGGTTGATCTTTTCCGAAGCTGGGGTGTCAAGCCCTCCAGAGTAGTAGGCCATTCGAGTGGCGAGATCGGAGCTGCCTACTGCATCGGCGCACTAACCCATCGCGATGCCATGGCCGCAGCCTACTTCCGTGGCAAGGCGTCCGCCGGGCTTCGGGGGCGCAAAGGGGGCATGATGGCAGTTGGGTCATCGCCAGAAGGCGTAAAAGAACACATATCCGATTCCGGAGTCAACGTCGCCGTCGCCTGCGTCAACTCTCCTTCGAGCGTCACCCTCTCTGGTGATGTTGACGCCCTTCAGACTATGCACTCCTTGCTCGAGAACCGTGGCATCTTTGCTCGACGCCTGAAGGTTGACGTTGCCTATCATTCCACACATATGCAGGACTGCTCTAATGAGTACCTTACGACCATTCAGGAGCTCGAAGCGCTGCAGCCAGATGAAGAGGAATCTGCCGTTATGATATCCAGTGTCACTGGTAGTGAGGTTGATCCAGAAATGCTCGGCCCCTTCTACTGGGTGCGAAACCTTATCTCGCCAGTGCAGTTTTCTGACGCTCTCAAAGAACTTGTAGCTCCCGTTGGCGAGGGAGACGAGATGGACACGGCTGTTGACATCCTCGTAGAAGTCGGCCCTCATAGCGCACTCGCCGGACCTGTCAAGCAGATTCTCACACATCATGGCATCAAGAATGTCACCTATGCTCCTGTGCTCACGCGAGACCAAAACGCGGTTGAGACAAGCATGAACCTCGCAGCAGAGCTTTTCCGCCTCGGCGTATCAATGAACGTGCCCGAAGTCAATGGCGACTCCCACACCCGCCTGCTGACGGATCTGCCTCCATACCAGTGGAACCACTCCGAGGTGTTCCGCGCCGACTCCCGTTACCAGCGCCAGATTGTCTCTCAAAAGCTTCCTGCCAAGAGCATTTTGGGCGCTGAGCAGCCAAGCATGAGCGAGACGGAGCGCGTCTGGCGAGGCTTCATCCGTCTAGAGGAGGAACCCTGGCTGCGTGAGCACACTGTCGGAACCACGGTTCTGTTTCCAGGTGCTGGTGTTGTTAGCGTCGTCCTTGAGGCTGCGCAGCAGATGGCCGAGGATGGGAAGAAGCTGCGCTCCTTTACGCTGCGTGACATTTCCTTCACCGCAATGATGCCTCTCACTGAAGGTGTAGCCACTGAGATCATCGTCCACATCCAGCCTCACCTCATCGGGACAACAGGCTCTACTCCGTCCTCCTGGTTTGAATTCACCGTCTCTTCAGCCACTGGCCCAACCGGTACTATCCGCTGCAATGCCCGAGGTTTACTGTCCATCAACTACGAGGATTCCCGTAGCCCGCAGATGATTCATGAAGACGCCATCATTGAAAAGGCTCGCATTGAAGGCTACCGCCATATCCTTGGCGAATGCCCTGACACCTGTTCCAAGAAGAAGTTCTACGAGACCCTGACCAAGTCAGCTCTCGAATATGGAGACGTGTTTCGTGGCGTCGAGACGTCCCGACCTGGGAATGGCAAGACGGCCTTTAACATAAGGATGACCGACATTGGCGAGACCTTCACCAAGGGTCGGTTAGCGCGTCCCTTCCTCATTCACGGTGCGGCTCTAGATGCCGTTCTTCAAGCCTGGATGGGCAGCACCAGCGGCAGCAACGGTCCCGGGTCCTTCGGCTTCAACAAGCCCATGTTGCCCAAGAGCATCGGAGAGCTGGAAATTTCCGTCAAAATTCCCGCGGATGTTGGCTACATGATGCCCGGGTGCTGTCGCTCCACCAGCCACGGCTTCAATGAGTGGTCTGCCAGCATTACCACATTTGACACAGAGCTGTCACGCGTGTTCCTGTCAATTACCGACTTTCGCCTTGCGGAGCTTGATGTTGAAGTTGCCGCCAATCCAGCGCTCGAGGGAGAAGACCCCCACGTCGACCCGGCGGCGATTGCATCCAACATTAAATGGAACTACGCCCTTGACTTGATGAAACCGAGCGATGTTGCGAGAGTGATCTCTGAGACGTCTGCCACTGACCCATACAATAGACTCATTGAGGTAAGCCGTGTCTAGAATGATGCCGAGTGCTTGAAGTGTGTGCAGTCTGATAACCTTCTCCACAGCTCGTTCTGATATACATCCACAGCCGCCCCGGAGCTGATATTATTGAGCTGGCTGCCGATTCGAGGCAACTGCACAACGCGGTTATGCCCAAGCTGCCCAATGGCACAATTAACCGGGCTCAGATCCGCTACGCCTTGGCAAACACCGTCGATACGCAGGAGGCTGATTATGTTGACAACGACATGCTGGCACAGTCGTTCCCTCTCGAGCCATTAGACATGATTCCGGCTGCACATACTGCTCCTGCGGATTTGATTGTCATCCCGCACCACGCTGTTGAGGGGCTCAAGGCAGACACTGATAGCATTGTGGAGCGTCTTATTAGCCTCTACAAGCCTGATTCAACCCTTCTCTTCGTTGGTCTGCATGCCCCGAGCATTGTCGGAGCCGAGCTTACGCTGGAAGCCAAGGGCTTTGAGCTGTTGACTTCCATCCCTGTTGGGGTTGGATCACTCACTCTTCATCAATATGTCAACAAGAAGAGCTCCCAACCAGAAAGGCTCGTCAACGGCGCCACAGAGAAGAAGGCGGTAATCCTGACTCGGTCCAAGCCATCCCCTGCAACCCATGGTTTTGCCCTCAAGATGGAGGAGCTTCTCAATGATGTTGGTTTCTCTACCTCAATAGAGACCGGTATTATCGGCGCTGGGATCGATGCCTCTGCGACGTATGTGTCTCTATTGGAGCTTGAGGAGCCGCTGCTGGAGGAGCTATCTGAGGCTGAGTTCCACGATGTTCGAACATTGATGCTCAATTCGGATCGCCTGCTCTGGGTCACTCAGGGCGCGAATCCGGCCTTTGGGCTTATTGATGGTTTGGCGCGAGTAATTCGCAGTGAATATATCAACGCCAAAATCCAGGTCTTGCATCTCATGAGCCCCGGAATTGATATTGGTTCCGCCTCGGCGTCCCGCATACTACTCTCCCCGACCAACGACAACGAGTTCATGGAGATTGACGGTCTTCTAAAGGTATCTCGAATTTACAGGAGCCCTGGCGAGGATGAGCACATCCGTGAGCACCTGATCAACTCCACTCGAGTAGTGAGTCTTCCCAAAGATCAGCACGCTCCTGCTTTGAAGCTGGCTGTCGGCAAACCCGGGCTACTCAATACCCTACATTTCGTAGCAGAAAACGCTACGGAACCGACGCCTCTTGCCGATGATGAAGTTGAGCTGCAGGTTATGGCCTCCGGCATTAACTTCAGAGACATCATGGGCTCCATGGGTCTTCTCCCAGTGTCCGGGCTTGGTCAAGAAGCAAGTGGTGTTGTCATTCGCGCAGGCAAGTTAGGCGCAGCGAATCTCAATCCTGGGGACCGAGTGAGCACTCTGACAGTCGGTGGAACTCATGCCACCAAGATACGATGCCACTACCGCGTTGCGCACAAGATCCCCGAAAACCATTCGTTCGAAGAGGCCGCTGGTATCCCTGTCACCCACTGCACGGCCTACTACGCACTCGTCAAGCTCGCTAGGCTTCAACGTGGTCAGTCTATTCTCATCCACGCCGCTGCTGGTGGAACGGGGCAGGCTGCAATTCAGCTCGCAAAACACCTGGGCCTTGTCATCTACGCTACTGTTGGCACCGACGAGAAGCGCAACCTCCTCATGGCTAGGTATGGCATTCCGGAGGAGCACATCTACAACTCTCGCGATGCCAGCTTCGTCAAGGGCATTGAACGCATCACGAACGGCCGCGGTGTTGATTGCGTTCTCAACTCCTTGTCCGGTGAGCTCCTCAGACAGTCGTTTGGATGCTTGGCAACATTCGGTACCTTTGTGGAGATTGGCCTTCGTGATATCACCGACAACATGCGTCTTGATATGCGTCCTTTCCATAAGAGTACGACTTTCAGCTTCATCAACATGATCACGTTTCTCCAAGAAAACCCTGACGCTATAGGAGTGATTTTGCAGGATGTCTTCAATCTTGTCTCCAAGGGCATATTGAAACCGGCGTACCCTGTAACCGTCTACCCCGTCGGTGAGATCGAGGATGCTTTCCGCGTCATGCAGCAAGGAAAACATCTGGGTAAGATGGTTCTGTCTTACACGCAGGGTGGTGGGAAAGCGCCTGTTCTGTGCAAGGCCAAGGACTCGCTCAAACTCGACCCTGCCGCCTCATACCTCATCATCGGTGGTCTCGGTGGCCTGGGTCGTAGCTTGGCGACCGAGTTCATCGCCAGCGGAGCTCGTAACATTGCCTTCGTGTCGCGCTCCGGTGACTCCAAGCCCGAGGCCAAGACCACTGTGGACCAGCTCATCGCCTGTGGTGCCAACGTCAAGGTGTACCGCGCCGACGTGTCCGATAGGCCTTCATTCACTGCCGCGATGAGACAGCACTCGGAGGATATGCCGCCTATCAAAGGTGTCATCCAGATGGCCATGGTGCTCCGAGACGTCGTCTTCGAGAAGATGAAATACGAGGAGTGGATCACTGGCCTGCGACCCAAGGTCCGGGGCACATGGAACATACACCGGTACTTTGATCACAATCACCCTCTTGACTTCATGATTTTCTGCTCATCAATCGCTGGCGTCTTCGGCAACCCAAGCCAGGCCCAGTACGCTGCTGGTAATACTTTTCAGGACACGCTTGCCAGTTGGAGACGACACCAGGGACTCAAGGCTGTGTCTGTCAATCTGGGAATCATGCGCGACGTCGGTATAATTGCCGAGGGTACTTCGAATTTCATGGCTCCCTGGGAGAAGATCCTCGGCATCCGGGAGCCTGTATTCCACGCCCTGATGAAGAGCGCCATCAATGGTCAGCAGGAGGGCGCGCGCTCGGAGGCATGCCCAGCCCAGGTTGTTGTGGGTCTCGGCACCGGCGATATTCTCGCTAGCAACCAACTCAAGAATCCTGCGTACTTTGACGACCCCCGCTTCGGGCCTTTGGCTTTCACTAGCACTCTGTCCAGCCGAGAGCTAGGCACCGGTGACGGCTCTCCCGTCTCGCTGTCGTCCAAGCTGACGGCAGCCAGTGCCCAAAATGATTCCGCCGGGGCCTCAAGCATCGTCAAAGACGCTCTGATCAAGAAAGTAGCCGAGATTCTACGCATTCCTCCTTCAGAAGTCGATGCCTCTCGACCGATGTATCGCTATGGCGTGGACTCACTCGTAGCTCTCGAGGTACGGAACTGGATTTCCAAGGAAATGAAAGCCAACATGCCGCTCCTGGAAATTTTGGCGGCTACGCCCATGGAGACATTTGCGGTGCAAATTGCTAAGAAGAGCAAGCTTCTTGAGGGAATATCTTTCTGTTAAGGCAGGATATACTAAGGACATAAAGTAGCTATAGGGTGTAGGGAACAAGGAGAACCAGATCAAACTAAAGTCTGCTTTAATCGATATGTTGAGGACAGATTGAGTTACATATTTGTGTTAATTCTCTTATAGATACATATTATAGACCAGTTCGGCCTAGTATTATATACTTCTTACGACCTAATAAGTTACAGGCTATGTCGCCTCACCTAGCAGACAAGACAATGGGCAACAATAGCATTTATACAGACAAGACATAGAGACAAACGGATGACTCCCTAGAAAGGAAGAACTATAGTGTAGGTCACGTAATAACAAGATAAGGTAATCGTTCTATAGGATACACTAAGTAATTACCTTAAGCTACTAAGTAATTAGTACTATCTACTAGGTGCTTAATAAGGTAAGTAGAGTTATTAAGACATTTAACTAGCTAAAGGTAGAGCTAATTTAGAGTTATGTAACTTACCTGAATAGCTTACTTACACTACTATAAATATCTATAGTAATAACCTCTTCTTATTTTTATATTATAGCCTAACTAGTTGAGGTGCTAGCTAGCATAACTATTATTAAATTATAGGGATTATAATAGTTAATTAATTAACTCTGTTATATATTATATAACTATAGTAAGGATTCTAGAAGAATAAGGAAATCCTCTTATTCCTTAGTTAGGGGGTCCTAAGCTAATCCTAGCTATATAATTAGTATAATTAGTAGTAAAGTAAGGCTAATTTACTACCTATTCTCTAACTATTTAGTATAGGTTAACTATGTATTTAATAAACTTATATAGTGAGTAAAATAATATAGTAAGTAAAATAATATAGTAAGTAAAATAATATAGTAAGTAAAATACTTTTCCTACTTTTTTACCTCTTTTACCTTTATATTTACTTTCTTTAATATATAAGTATAAACTATTCTTCTAAAGAAAACTAAATTTTCCTTACCTTTTAAGCTATATAAGAAGACCTAATAATGTGTTTACAAATAGTAGCTTCTACCTTTAAGGTCCTCTCAATATCTCTTTATGATAAATATAATAAATATATTATATAAGATAATATATATCTAAAATTAAAAGAAATAATAAAAGTGAAAAAAGAAAGTAATTTTTATAAAGGTTATTAACTTAGTTAATTAAGGGTTATTTTTATAATAAGATATTATATAAAATATAGCTAACTAACTTCTAAGTAAATATAATATAATATATATTAGTGTTGCGATGTTAACTATTGCCTAGATATTAGTAGTATAGATTAACGCTAATTAGCTAGAATAACTACGGCTAATTCGCTGTGGATCCACCGGATTCATAGGGATATTACGCAGTGGATTTGCTACGTAATCCTATAATAGTTTCCTTTCCTTTACGTATAATTTAGAACCAGTATTTACCCCTATTATTTATTACTTGCCTATTAATACGTATAGTTAACTATATTACTACCCTAGTAAAACTAATACTAATTAGTAGTTAACTTTATAGTAACTACTACTATAAGCTACTATAGATTAGTAAGGTGATATAAGAAGAGGTAATTTTTCTATTAATTATTTATAGTAGCCCTAATTAGTTACTAAGAATCCTATTTATAAATACCCTTATAGTAAGATTACGCTATACGCCTATTATAGGTTAATTTATATTACTTAGTAGTTATATCCTCTTAATATAGTAAGAGTAGTATAAATTTATATTATTTATATAAGTAAATTAACTTTATTACTATATAAGAAGTCCCCTATCTAACTATAAAAAACACCTTACTTTATATACTAACTTACTATTAATTACTAATTATTTACTTTTTACCTTCTATTTATTATAAGCCTATAAAGCTTACTAACTTTCTTTTTTTATATATTTTTTTCTTATTTTTCTCTAAATTATTTTATATTACTAACGTAATAGCCTTTATTACCTATAAGCTTACTATAAGCCTTCCCTTTTTAAGTTTCTATTTAACCTTAAGTCTTTATAACTATCTATACTACTAGTAGTAAATCCTCTAATAGATATATACACCTTCTAATAATAGTTAAGGGAAACACCTATAACTAAGAGGTAGTTAGGCTAATAGAGGGTAATTATAAGTAAGTAACTAAAATAAGTAAGTATAAAAAGATAATAAGTAATATATAAGAAGGTAAATTAACTAAGTAACTTATAATAATTTATAATAAGTATATAATACTATATAACGCTATAAGGCTAGTAGCTATAATAAGTAACTTATACCTTATACTAAGTAACTTTAGGAAGTATATTATTCTTAATCTTTAGAGAAGAGATTATATTATAAATATACTAAAGGATTTTACTAAGGCTAAGTAGTATAATAGCCTTATTACTATAGCTATATATTATATTACTAAGTATAAAGTAAATAACTATTTCTATAGTATTCTTTAGACTAAAGTATAAGTTAACTTTAAAGATTAAGAAACTAAGGATTTTACTATCTTACTATATTAAATACTTAAGAAGCTATATAAGTGCTTTATAAGCTATAAAGTGTAAATAAATTAGTTAAAAAACTTTATAATTATAGCGCGCTTTTACTAAGCTATTTAAGATAATAAAACTATTATCTAAGATAAAAAGATAATTAATACTACTATATAAAAAGTTAGGGGATTTAAAGAGCGCTTAGTAGATAATAATTTTTATAAAAAGATTACTAATATAGTAGTGTTACTTATTAAGGCTATTACTATAGTAAAAGTAGCTAAATAAGCTATAGCCTATAGATTACTATTAATTACCTAGGTAACCTCTTATAATAATCTATTATTTATACCTCTTTTAGCCTTATTACTATAAAAACCCTAGATAATAGTAGTAATTTATAAAGCCTAAGTCTAACTACGTTTTTTACTATTAGTAATAGCTACTATAATAGCTATAATAGTAAGTAAGTAAAACAGCCTAACACTAAGGTAATTAATAGACTTAATAAAGTTCTATATAAATAATCTAGGTTTAATATATAGTAGTAGCCTATATAAAACTATTAACTTAAAGTTACTATTTTTTTATAACCTTTATATCTATATAAGTATACTATAAAACTACTATAGTATAGTAGTAATAGTAATACTTAAAGGGGAGCTATATAAGTATTATACTACCTTATTACTTAGTTATTTTAATAATTTTAATATAATAATAGTAAAGCTTA